TGGGCACACATTGAGGCTACTATCGTTTCCACAAGTGGTTGAAAAAGAATTGGAAAAATTAATGCGTTTAAAAATGAAGATTTAGTCCTTTCATCACACAGGTTCGAATTAATCCATGTTATTTCACCTAAAATTAATACATTTTAACATTAGGTATATCAAGTATCCTCCCTGAATTATTTAAATTGAAAAAAAAGATTTTTTTTTATAAGTTCGTTGTTGGGATTAACGGATTTTAATGTGGATACATTTTCCAATAAGATGGAGGAAATGCTTGTTATCATTCGATAAGTTAACGAACAGTTCAGAAATCCACAACAGACGACATTTATATGTGTCTGCATAGCAGAATTTTTGTCGCTTTATGAGACAGAACGACTTGTACAAGAATTAACAAAATATGGTATTGATACCCATAATATTATAGTGAACCAACTGCTATTTTTGAAAAAGGGTGATACTCCTTGTCGGCTGTGTCTTGCAAGGCATAAAATTTAAGATAAATATCTAGAGCAGATAATTAACGTTGTATTTATAGCTGATATTTTAATTTGTTTTTCGTAATTCTTTTAGAGCTAAATAATTATATTAGAAAATAATAATATTTCATTTTTATTGCTTTGTCAAATTCTTGAAAGATAAATTAAATAATTTTTTTTTCTTTTTAAGATAATAGACCTTTATGAAGACTTTCACGTCACGCAGCTTCCATTGCTAGAAAGGGAAGTGCGTGGAGTTCAACAGGTCAGGGAATTTTCGGAAAATCTCGTTAAACCGTACAAACCTTAGCATTCTATGTAACAAATGTTTAATAACAATATAACTTTACACCTAATTTAAGATTTTATACACTTACAACATTGCGCGTTGAAAATTTGTATAAAAAAAGGTACACCTTTAATATACTGCTCGATTAAGATATTTGTTATTGCACGTATTAATAAATTCAACGTTCAACATTCGCATGCACTTATATACTTGCAATATTTAATTTGTATAATACAAATAAGCTTAAATATACATATAGCGTTAACACTGCGATTTATTTATTTATATAATGAAACAGAATGCATATTGAAGACAGAATCAATCATTCAATTTTTCTTTGCCGTTATTAAAAATGTATTTATTAAATTACCGCAAGTTCTTTTCCAATTTGTAAGAAAGCACCTACCGCACGATCTATATCTTCGGTCGAGTGCGCTGCACTAATCTGAACACATATTCTTGCTTTATCTTTTGGTACCACGGGATAGCTGAATCCAATGACGTAAATTCCCTTTTCTGTAAAAAAAAAAAAATCATTCTCGTGCAATATAACAGAATAAGTCGTAAAACTTTGATAATATATTGTTACCTACGCTCCGTTCGCTATTCGTGTCGCGCGCACTCACGAACGTGTCCGCGTACTTCCGGGATCGCAGAAATAACCACTCTCGTTATACCAATAGGAACTTGGGTTTATTTAAACTCAGAACGGAATACAAGAGAGTTCTGGGAAACCGGACCGAACGATTCGAGTCACCAGATCAATCTGACAGGCGGTAATTAAATCAATAAATGTCCCGTTGTCAAGGGACCGCTTCACGATTTCTGCGGAATGACCGCTTGCTTCAGCTCGGAGTTAAAGGCCGTTTTAGCGTGGGCGTAACAATATGGTAGGTGTTGTATATTTTATCATTGATAGTTTATTTCTTTAAAGATTTTATAATTTATATGAAAATATATTCATACCCATCATTTTATCTGCAAATGTTGTTGCTAATTTTGCATCACCCAACATAACAGGACAAATAGGATGGTTATCGCCGCTGACAATGAATCCAGCTTTAGTCATCGCATTTCTGAAATGCTCGGTATTGCCTGCTAAACGATCCAAAAACTTTGTGCTGTCTGTTATAAAATCCATCATCTGTTAATAATGTATAAAGTAATGTTTAAATTAGAAAAGTTTAAATAGCACAATAAAAGTTTAATATCACTGCCGATCACTACGCATGCTGCCTGCTGTCCACCGCCTCTCTTCATCATCTTCATCACCCTCGTGAAGCTGGGCTTCTTCACGTATTACACAGTGGCGATGGGTTAAGGTGAATCCCTCCGGGTCGATGCCGATCGACAGTGTCTTTATTTACAGACCGGACAAGCGGCTCGAGCTTTGGAGATTCACTTTCTAATCTTTCAGATCTGTATAAGAATTTGTAACGATTGTAACTGTTATTGTAACGATACTTTTTGAAGCTGCATAATAAAAAACTGATATAAAACTGATATAAAACCTTCTAGTTTGTAATAAACAAGTATTATTCTAAGAGCTGTGTTCTTTCGCCATTACCGATGAGTCAAATTATGTCGACAGATAATCGTATAAAATCCCATATATCACAAGTGGCATGAAAAAAATCATACTGTTTTAATAGCTGTCCAATTAGTGGATTGTTGCCTATTATTCTCTTTTGCAGAAAGAGTGACCGCAAAAACAGGCTAAAAATAGTCTCTTTTTTCACCCTTGAATTTAGACTTCTACTTACAAGTACTAAATGATAGTCTATAATGAGTCATGAATCCTCAGAAAGTTTCAGATTTAGCTGGCTTTTTATTTTCAAGATATAAAGGGGTCAAAGTTGTTGATTTCACCAACTTTACAGGCCCACAAAAAGAGAAAAGTTGTCTGCGCCATGGACTAGACTATGGTATTCCAATGTATTTTTGCCTGCTGAAACCGAATGTGACCTCAATTTTGCTCCTACACGTCATGATTTTTTTCTACAACCAAAAACAGGGTGTTTTGTAGGGGCAAAATACCTTGTTTTTGGCTGTAGAAAAAAATTCTATTAATGCAAACAAAATGTTACAAAAATATTTAGAAATAACATAAAGAATTAAAAATTTTCCACAGACTTTTAAAAATAATATAATAATACGTAAAAATAATATAAAACCTTATTTAAAAGTAAACATATTTCTTGCGCTTGATTTGAAACAGATTATTTCGATATTTCAACGTTAACAGAATATGTATTAATTTTTATACTCACAATATAAAAATAGTTTCAGCTAACTATAATAAATAAATGTAAAGCATACACAGTGAAAAATAATAAGAATCCGATACATGGAATCTAATATATTATACCTCGTCAAGTTCTTTAACAACGATAGAAATACATAACATCTTTCAATATTGCAATTGAAATAAATGATCTACAAAAGTGATAAAGAATATTTATACATCATACGTCATATTCCGAAAAATTAATTTACTTATAATAGACGAAAATATATGCAATGTATAAGATAATAAAAAAAAGTTATGAACAATATTAAATTTTGAAGATTCAACAGAAAATACAATGTTTATTCTACAGATAGTAATAACTACTGTTTAGAGATATTTTACGAAAGATATTAAACAACATCAAATCTATAATACTATATAAATTATTTGTTAATTACACAACAGTAATATGTCGTAGATAATTTTATCAGTAACTTCCAGTCTATTAATAAAATACTAAATATTGCCGGGCCTGGGCGAGGTGAAAAGATCGGCGTTCTCGCGCCAGTCTCGAGGATCTGAGCTCGGTCCCGTGCCTTGGCCTTCCGCGGATCTTCCTTGCTGCGAGGCTTCCGTGGCGGCGCGAGCCGTCGTGGTCGTCCTCTTCGGCCGCCATTCAACGCTCAGCTCAGAACTCGTTGAACTCGAAAAATATTAAGACGTATTAGAAATAATTAAAACTGAATAAAATGTTATTTATACAAAACGGTAATAATAAATAAAAATAATATTATTTGAAAAATTATGCTGATAATTATATGTCTTGGGTCATATTTGATATTTTTGATTGATCAGATCAATTGGTCACTTTCATTTCTCCCAAATCGGTTTGTAAAAATAAGTACGGCCTCTTTAAGATTATTTGTACGCTTTTCTATCAGCTTTATAATGTTTGACAAAGTGTTTGGATTTTGATTGAAATAAGTTTCTGCGAATCTATTCACCTTGGACAATTGTTCGTTAGAAAAAACATTCTGAATAATCCATAAAATAATTCTTCGCCAGTGATAAAATAATAAAACACGAAAATTCATCGGCCTAACTAGCAATAATTTTAATATTAATACAACAACGTTTCGACCTCTACTTTGGGTCCTTATCAAGTTATAAGTTATTTAGCAATGATTGAATTGCGCGTCAGGTTTTGAATGATCTTATTATCATCGTTAAACTATGTGGTCAGGAAGTATAACATAGCGAACATTAGATTCAAAACCTGACGCGCAATTCAATCATTGCTAAATAACTTATAACTTGATAAGGACCCAAAGTAGAGGTCGAAACGTTGTTGTATTAATATTAAAATTATTGCCAGTTAAGCTAACGAATTTTCGCGTTTTATTCTGAATGATATATTTATTTATCGTTCAACCTGCAGGTGGTCGTGGGACTTTCCTTGGAAATAGTTCACGGAAGCCATGAATAGATGTATCCACTCATGTTCATCCACTTGTGAATAACACGCAGAAGAGTGTGCCATATACGTTTGCGCAAGGGGACAGTTCCTCGTTTCTTTATATTATCTGCAAGAATATATATGATGGTTACTACAGTCTGCATCTTTGTAAAGCAAATCATATCTGACTTATAATTATAAATATATTAAAATATTTATTGCAAAATAAAATTTTCTCTTATTCCAGTCCTTTGGCAAAATTCTACAACGTATAGAAATATATAACAAATCGTTTAGCTCATATTATATCTTAACTAGATAGACTTATCAAACGTCGCGAAATATGTAAGAGAAATTATTTAAGACTTGAAAGTTATTGGAATTACTCTATTTTTTAATTTAAATATTTTAATTTAAATAGATTTATTTATTTATTTAATTATTTATTTATCTATTTATTTATTTATTTATTTAAATTAAAATATCGTAAAAAGTATACGTTATTTAAGATGTCTTGTTCCTACCTGTTATCAAATGTTACGCTGTAAGATGCTTTTGTTGTGTATACACACCCTGTATGTGCTCCTTTGACAGCTGTCTTTAACCTCTCACTACAGCTCACTGCTGGTCACGGCAGCTCCCTAGACGCAGTGGCTCGCAGTCTCTAAATATTCGTGCGTTCCAAAACCCATCCAAAAAAAAGTGTTGCAACCTTTAAGTGAACGACTGTACGTCCAATCTTCGGGTTCACATCCCCCATCACAACAAGAATTTCGCCTCTGGGAAGGTCGTTTATAGTATTTTCTAGCTGTTCGTAGAATGTTTCGATGGCTTCCTCTGTCGACTCCGCCGTAGGGGCATACACTTGTATAATGTTGATGTTCAGTGGGTGTGCATTGATTTTTAGTATTAAAACCCTATCGCTGACCGCCTTGTACCCTAGGACCGATCTGTTAGTTGTACTGGAAAGCAGCAGAGCCACTCCGTTGCGACTCTCCGAGTTGTGGCCCGAAAAATATATGACATTGCCGGATGCAGTGCTGAAGTGTCCTTCCCCTCTCCAGTGTGTCTCGCTCAGTCCTACTATGTCCAGCTTGAGGAACTAGATTTCTCTTTTCACAATAAGCAGTTTCCCGATTTGTAGAAGGCCCCGAGTGTTCCATGTGCCTATTTGGAGGTTGTTGCGCAGGTTTACTCCGTTTCGTGTGGCATCATTCAAAGCAGCTCCCCCCGGAGATCCGATTGGGGAGCTATTTAGTCCTCCGGAAAATTTTACGGTAAATGAAGCCATAATGTTCTCTTGAGATAAATGCTGAAGGTGGTTTCCCGTTTCCTTCCTTCATGGACCAACGGTTTAACGTCTCTCTTCGAAGGACGGTAGCGCCGATATCTCCTCTTTCCCCACCATACCCGTCACCAGGGCAGGTGGGGGCGAGTCCCCCATTAGGAGGGAGAAATCGACTTGATGGCGTCCCCCGAAAATCCCGAGAAGGCGCACATCCTGTAACCCCCGCCGCCTTCTACTAGACCCACCACGAATCACCGGGAAAAAAACTCCCCAGGATTTTGTGTACCTGACTGGGATCGAACCCAGATCACCGAAGCGTGAATCCAGCGTCTAGCATAGGAGACCACTGACTCGCTCTCACTATAATTTTCATTAATTAACCATTAAAACGTTCCATTTAGTTATATTAATTGCGATTGACAACATCAATGTCTCTTGAGATTGATAAATTATCTGTCAGTAGAACAGTGGAAATATTCGCAAAATCTACATTGATACTACGCAGATGAGATACTTCGATTTTGGCGACGGAAAAGAAACGTTGAATCCACGCGGATAAGGTACTTCGATTTTGGCGATAGAAAAGAAACGTTGAATCCACGTAAATAAGGTTCTTCGATTTTGACGATGGACAAGAAACGTTGAATATACGTGGATAACTCGCGGATGAATCTCCATCCACGTATTACGTAGATTCGACGCAGATGCAATGTACCTGTTTTACTGGGGATGCGCATGCTCAGTGGCCGCACGCGCATGCTCCGTAACCACACGCAGTTGAATGCACGAATTTTGAAATTAACGAACTTAAACAAATGAAGCACAACAATGTTATTGTCAGACACGCGACACGCAATCGCACGCTTGACGCCACGCAACAATGTTGGGCTTGTTAGAGTTTGGCCATTTAACGTATTTCCAAGAAAAGTTAGTAGATTTTTTAATCCTGCATGGTGTTTTGGCAGCTACAATTAAGTGTAGTAAATGTGGCAGTGATATTAATATCGATAAAGAGACATTAATCTTCCGATGTAGAAAACGGTACAACGTAAAAAATATACACAAGAAACGTGTCTCGATGCAGTGCGATTTCGACAAAAGTGCCAAAGCAAGTACTTGGTTCGGCAAAAGTCATTTTGACGTGGCAACAATATATAAAATTGTTACATGTTTTTTGATGTTGCGACATCCACGTCAAGAT